ATTATGTAAATCCCCTGTAACGCTTTGTCTGGAATGCTGGTTTTGTTTCCTCTGTCCTCACACCTATAACATATTTATCAGCAAGATAAGAACCCAACAAAAAAGTAAGATACGTTGTCAGCTGATGGACTGATAGACGAAGATACTAGAAGAGTAGATCTATATTGAGATGGGCAAATAAGAGATGAGATACAGTAGAAAGGAAAAGACTGTATCTGAAATTGACTCATGAATCTTCATAAAATGTCATTAACTCATGCAGCTCTTTGCCATAAGGCATCAATGAGATATTATATATATCTGGCTTCAAGATTTCGTAGTTACAGGAGAGAAAATAAGAGATTTCTAAGACACAGAAACTTCCCTTGCATTAAGATGGAAGCCCACCACTAAGATGAATCTCCCATGTAGGCAAGTTATGCTGTAACTGCCTTCAACAGGATTTCTTGCTGGTTTCTTGATGTTGGCTGAGAACAAATCCTGAACTCATCAGACTGCAGGTGCAATGTGGTTGAGAATTCCTGTCTTCCTGTTGGCTTGCAAATTTGCATCTCATTTTGTGCACGGTGAAGATATCAAGCTGAAAGATGACCAGAAGGGCTGTGGTGTGGAGTTTCATTGCTGGTGGCTTCTGTGTTAAGGCAGAGAAGAAAGTGACTAACATGACTTAATGGAGTTTATGTAGTGTTGGTCAGTTGCCAGGGCCTGGTTTTGTCAAAAAAGTAGTGGAGTAGCAGGAAGGGGATACATAAGTAGAAAATCTTAATTCTGGTGACAGAGGACCACCTCTTTGCTGTCCAGTTTTCTCTTAGTAGCGCCCCTGTGAAGGCCTTTCCTGTTCAAACCCCGTTGTGGCTGAAGTTCTCTGAATTTTAGCCTGGTTAAATTTAGCTACTTTTCTGCTGCACTAGGCTGTCTATGTTTTAAACGTTGTACGTAAAGAGCCCAACAGAAGCTCAGAATTACACTCTCTGACCAACAGGCCACTGACAAAAAAACGTGTCAAAAGAAAGCTAGATTTGTTAATGGAAATGAGGTGCCCCAATCATAGGGGCTTTGTAGATCAGTGGTTGCTCTCAATGGTATCTTCAGAAGCAGCTCTGGAAGGGGTACCACATGTCCATCTGTGGGGGTAAACTCGTTAAAAGTTTAATGCTTTCTCCTGACATCCAGGTAGCACAGGCTCATACCACAAAGCACTTGGGAAAGCACAGAAAGCACAGTTCTCACCTGCAGAACATAACCATTGCCACAAGTCACCTTGTGAACTGTGCTTCTGAGCAGGGGTTCCGTTAGGGAGCCACAGGAAAGTTTGTGGGGCTTCAAAACAAAACATTTGTGTTAGAGAGTTTGCAAATATTCCAGACCATCAGCTGAAGTCCCGAGATCTCTTAAATGATTTTTGAGATGGAAAAAAACGTCCAGCTATAGTTCTACTAAAATCTTTAGCTGCAACATCAAAGCTTCTTCCAAGATATTATCTGAGAGATAACTGAGTTTTTTATGGTTGAAGTTTTAAAGACTGAATTTAGACATTCTTGGAACTTTCATTCACTACAAGTAGTCACAATAGGGAGGAATCAAACAGTTTGAGTTTAAAAAGTGAAGTTTACCCCAGCTATTTTTCTCCAATTGGATGATTTTTCATTTAAAAAGTTAAATCTGAGCCCATAGAACATATGCCTTTGAGTAAGTTTTTTATAGTCATATTACTAATTTTATCCAGTAAGTAATAGTCACTCCACTTTTTTTCTAGTGTAATAAAACTCTAGAAATGGAGATCTTCAATATTTTGCCAATTTAGTTGCTTAACTCGATTGGCATCATTACAGCAGGTAATTCTGAGCAGGTAATACTGAGCAGACAAGGTCTCGCTCATGAGAGATCCTCATGCTAGAAGGCCTCAATAGATCAAACCTGAACCAGTCAGCACCTCATGAAAAGCACCCCAAGAACAGTACCGGGTGAACTGACAACTCATAGCATGGCAATTGCTGTTCAGTTTGCTTATAGGCTGGGTTAGGATGACACTGGAGGTAGGTTAGAGCCCTAACTCTCATTTTCTTCTCACACTGCACAGAGAGGCACTAGGCAATTATCACTTGAGGTATTTTTGTGAGTCAGTGTTGTCTCACTGGGGAATACCAGGGTAATTCTCTAATGGTCTTAGAGGAGTGGGCATGTTGAAACTGGTACCATGGTGGACATGAGGTAGCAGATGGTAGGAAACAAGCAGGTATTTTGCCCACTGAGAGGCCTACAGAGGCCTTGTCTTGCACATGTGTTCACATGCAGTCACAAACACATGGATGCACACAGATACATGCACCCTTGTCATCACTCTCTCTAGTACCAGTCTTACAGGAAGGCCCCAGGTCCCTAAGCGCTCTTACAACAAACCTTCTTCACCTAATGGTTCTTGAGGAAACTGTAACCTCAGTGTGGAACTAAATAGCTCAGAAACATGGAACAAAAAAGTTATCAGATTTGTTTCAGGTGTTACAATTTCTAAATAGCTTTTGATGTACTTTTTCCCCCAGTTTTTAAGGCCTTAATGCAAGAAATATTCAATATGATACATAATAATCAGCCCAAATCAAGTGACAAACACTGCACAGAAATGAAAAATTAAGTCATTAGTAGAGCAGGACATGAGCTTCTATTTTTGGAGTCCTTTTCTTGTGTCTTGTGACACAAGATTGAATGTTGTAGTAATAGCTTCTATGAAAGCTGATTGTCATTGTATACCCTTAACTTTCTACTTCCTTAATTGTAAGTAAGCACTGAAAAGAATACAGCTGCAGTTACATAAAGTTGTTGCCCAGGAAATATGTGTTTTTTATGTGAAAAGCCAGCGTGCCCAAAGGGCTAGGTAGTCATCCTGTCTGTCTCTGCTGAACTTAATGAAGCTATGAATACTTACACATGTTGAGGGTTTGTCCACTGTGCTCTTTGATGTCTTTCCCCTGTCTAAAGACCTGACCACAGCACATCTCTTCAGCCCCTTTGGAAACTGTGCGAGTAGTGTGCGCGACAGAAGAGAAATGGTTGACTTTTTTCCAAAATTGCTGCTCCCTGCTCTGCTATGTGTATTTGGAGGATCCTTTCTGGTGAAGCAGTGCACAGATATTACAAGAGGAGTCAAAGGAAATCAGTGTTCATATTAAAGGCTGCAACCTAGCAGAGGATGAGCAGCAAGGGAAGCAGTCACTGTGAGCCCCTTACTCCCTGCCTCGCTTGGAAAAGAAATGGTGGGCAGCTGGGGAGGACATCTGTGCAACCACAGCCCCAGATCTTCAGATGTACCTTGCAGCCTAACTTCCCATTTTTCTAAGTGAGATGTTTCCTAAAGGTGTTGGAGAGAATGAGATTATGGTTCTTACTTGCCTTCAACACAATAACACTCTAGTTCTTCATTTTGCACTTTCCTTTTGTGTGTGTGTGTGTGAAAATGAAGTTTAATCATATTTTCCATTCTTTCTAAAGCATTTTGAGAGCCTTAGGGAAAAGTACTAGGCAGGAGCAATGCCATTATAGATAAGGTTCCAGATTATATGCAGCTAGAGATGACAAAAATAGTATACAACTGAGACCATAGCAAGGACTTGGGGTAAGGAATGGTCAGGAAAAGACAGGGAAATCCCTGGTGTTTAATGGCTGCATAGGAAGAGATGTTGAGAGCTCTGATCACCCACAGTAATTAACTCCCAGGAAGGGTACAAGGATCATTACAGATCTTGCAAGGTATAACAAACAAGATGTTATTATCAAGTAGGATGATTCACTCTTAAAAACGATTATTAATCATGCTATGAACTGTGATGAGGATGAGCAGATATAAATTATTAATTGCTATATGATGGTTAATTAATATATCCTCAGGTTGTGATAGTCCTAATTAAAAAAAATGATATTCACTGCAGCAAGATTAATTCCAGGATAAGATACTACTGACTATGAACAAAGGCATTAAAATTCTGCCTGCCAAAAGCATGTTAGTTAGTTCTGGTCCTGTATGAATTTGATAAGTGGAAGCTGATGATATTAATATCAGAGAGCTTACCATAAAAATGCTTTTATGGGTGACCTGGTTTTGTAGGCAGCTGATAGTCTCATGATGCTGAAAGGAACACAGTGTTTTGGTTATCTGTAATATGAGGGACTAGGGCCTTGACATCAGTGATTCAAAGTGAACGAACACCAATTTATATATTGCTGTTCATATATATATATATGTAGCCTGCCTTGGCTCTGTTCTGTAGTGTGATACATATAGTCATCCTTCTCTTCCCTGCCTCAGCAGTGGCCCTGCTTTAAAACCTGTCCTGGGCAGTGAAAACTAAATGCATTTCCCTACATAAGACTGAGCTAAGACAAAACATGAGCCATAAATTCTGACTTGACCAGAGCAGGGGACTGCAGAGAATGGCTTTAAGAGTAATGTGATCTTATACCTATAGTGTAGTTTGGAAGTGCTGTAAGATCATGTATATCACTAAGAAGTTATTTGTGATGAAAAGCCCGTAGTTTATCAGCAGTGCAGGCTACATACATGTTGTAGTAAGAGAGGAAGTTTATTCCTGGAGCGCCTCTGCTTGTACCTCTCCTTCACCCCTCACGCTCCTCAAATGCCAATTTTCTCTCTGCCTGGAGCAATTCTGTATCTGTTTTTGATAATCTGGGGACCGTCCTAGAGTGGTATGAAGTCTTTGTTGTGTGAAGACTTTTAAGTACCCTGACTTTTGAAGAAGTATTGTCTGAAATATGGACTTTGCAGTTGAAATATGGTATAGAAAGCTCAGAATCAGATTGCTGTTGAACAATTTGAGTCATGAGTTGGCAGCAGTGTCAGCTCTAGTTGGCTTGCCCAAAAGTTCTCAAATTTGTGCTGTCATCTTAGTACCCATTTCAAGTCTCCATCTGCATTACATATAAGCAGAAAAATGTGCCATTTGATTCCACGTTTATAGTAACTTTATTAAAATTCAAAACCTTCTGTTAGTAGAAATTATAAATTTTAAAAATATAAGACATTTATGTATACATAGTTCTTTAGGGCATGGAGTTCCTATGAGTTTGTGAAATACAGATTTTAGGCATGGTTTGTTCTTGCTTATTCAGAGAAAAGCAAAGGAAAAAGTAAAACAGTTGTTTCAGGTTTGTCTCACGTGAGGGTGAAACTGAAGTAACTTCATAGAAGTCAGTGGACAGAGTAAGTCTTCCCCAGTACAAGACTGAATAGGGTTACATTCATGGAGTTACCCTGAATTACTCCAGGTCATCCCTCAGTGAGAGTATCCATACATCATCGTGGACTGAGCTAATGGTGCAATACTATGTAGAATAATAGAAAGCCCAAGGATCTTCTTCTGAATATTGCACTGATCAGGTGATAGCCTGAAGCGTGCGATTAGTTTACTTATAGATCATAGAGGTATGAGTAACTATTAAATTATATAACACCTTCTCAAACCCAGCACTCGGTGCAGAACATTCTGACCTCCATCAGGATGGAGGTCTACACTCATCCAGCTCTGTGGGAGGTCATCTTCTTCCCTACAGTATATGAAACTATCTTCCATTCACCCTTAAATACCACACTGGTCAGGACAGCGAGGTTCAGAAGATATTTACATTCAGTTGTAAATAAATATTAGCAAGCATTTCAGAAAATAAACAGTGTAACAGAGTCCAGCTATAAAACAAAGAAACCAGCAGACATTCAACTAGTGATGATCAGATTCTGATGAGTTTGTGTTTGTTCAGAGGTTTTATTGCCAATTTATAAATAGGAATTAAAAGCAGATGCTAAGGTTTCTTCCCTGTTACATGCAGCACTGATGATGATTCCATTTAGTTGGCCTTAGATTCTTGCCTAGGACAGGATTATTTGCCTCTGGTGGTACGTGCTCTGTCTATTCTCCTTATGGCAGACTGCACCCATTTCTGATTCGGGCTTACGCAGATCCTGATACCTTTTGTGTTGATAAACCTGGAGGAAGAAAGCAAACCAGGTGGCCATTAAATTCCAGTCTCCAAACCTAGGTTTACTGTTCTTGGGTTTTATGCAGAACAGGAAGAACAATGTGGTAAAACCATATCAGAGTTTGCCAGAGTTTGTAGCTGTTACTTGCAATAAACAGTACTTAGCACTTAGCAACATTAGTTCCCTATTTATTGCATAGGCATGTATGTAACATACATGGTATGTGAGGCCACAGCACAGGCCTGTGCATATATACTGACCTGACATTTTAAAAAAGGAGTATACCTGATGTTCTGAGATTGTATATGAAATCATGATGCACATTTACCACCCAGAAGCAGCTCCCAGGTTAGATAAAAATGCGTGCTCATGAGATCAAAAGCACAAACACGCTCCTAGCAGGAGGCAAGAGTTACCTCAGACTCTTTCACATGATCTTTCCCCTTGCCTCAGTTCATTGCACTGGGCTTCTGAGGGCTCCGCCCTGACGCCTTACTGAGATTTCCCCCCATTTTCTGGGCACAAAAGATCTGGTTGTTCAGTGAGATTTCTGCTAGTGTTTGTGAGCAGTGTGTATCAGTGTTTGTGAGCAGTGTGTATCAGTGTTTGTGAGCAGCGTGGATCTCCCAGCTCTCTGAAGCCCACCCTTCTCTTCTCACTCCCTCAGCTGCCAGGTGACTGCTTCATGGGGGAACTGGAAGGGTGACCCCTACTAGCTAGATTTAGTAGGTTGGGCCATTCAGTGTCTTCTGATGCCCTTTCCCTTTCTGATGGTAGCATGTTTGCATAGATGAGTCAGAAGGTGAACTGTGCACCAGATACTTACATGACAGCTTGTACTGGAACTCTGTGCATTTCATAGCCGATAAGGTTTCGGATGTTCAGTTGCTGTGTAGACAGATTTACACAACTGTATTTGCGCATGGACTGACTTCCAACACTTCCTAGATGGGGAAAAAATAGATAAGTGACAAAGGCAGTCAATACTATATTCATATTTAGCCATAATTAATTACTTAATGAATTATGAATTCCAGCAAATTCCCAGTTGTGGTTAGAACACGAGTGTCTTATGATGTACAGCCACAATACCAGTTATACAAGAGAATTTAAGGTATTTTTTTGTGATGCATCCTACCGTCTCTAAAGTATTCTTGCTATTTCAGTTACGATACTAATCTTCACCTGTTCTCCTCAACAATTATGTAATCACTCTGCCCCCAGGGAATCACTGCTCCATAGCAGAAAAGGTATTTGGCATCATTCATAATTAGGTCTGTATCATCTGCAAATAAGTGTCCATATGGCACCAAATGCCCTCTGAATGTGGATCTGTAATTCTCCCTACTTTCCAAATGAAGGAAAAGAAAGCAAGGCTACTTGTCTAACACCAGACATCCAAAAGTACCATTAAAAAAAATCATTGAAAGAAAGGGAGGTATATCTGTCAGAGGACAAGGTACTTGTATACTCTTGCTATAAGTCTGGTTTCATAGACAATGGAGTGTTACTTAGTCCTCTCTTTCCTCCAATGTTTTCATACATTTCAGGGAAATGCACTGGTGATTAATAAAGAGGATCACAATATCATTGGAAAATTCTCTAGGCAGTTGTTACCTTACATGATGATAACTGAAAACGGGAGCTCATTTAAGCGAGATAGTGCATATGCATACATGATTAGAAGCCTCTGCTTGCTAGTTTCTAGTTTTCTCCCACCCATCAAAGACAGATTTGGGAAGGCATGAGGGAGACAAAAAGAACACTGCTGTATTCTGAGGTTTCTTTTTAAAGACTTTAGAGAAATCGGCATTAGAGAGATCCAAGAGCTGTTCAGGTACAACTTGCTAAATATAAAGCCTATCACAGATAATTTTATTATCTGTGAGGTTTTCCTTGTTGGAAATATTTGGAATAGCTGAGACAAACACACATCAGCTTTTGGACAAGCTGCACCGCAGCCAGTGCATGGGTACTGGCAGAGGAGCTAGTTCTTGAGATTTTGTTTGCCTGAAGGAATTTCTCTTCTCATCTTGCTTTAGTCACAAGTAACATGGTGTATTTTTTGATGATTCATTACAAATATGTATCTTACTGCCTCACTCAGATTGGTTTTCAAAATGTGGCTTTTAAAAGCTCAAGGATAAGCAATCCTTACTAGTCCTGGAAATAGTGTCTCTAGCACTAAACTATCTCCAGGGAATGCGTGCAGGGAATACCAGAAGAGCTCGTCTAAGGGAACAAAACCAAACTGCTCCACACCTCTAACTACCTTTTTTAATTATTATTTCTGGTGGGATTTTTTTGGTTCTCATTCTTCTTTCTAATCCTTTTTCTATCCATTGCACACCATCTCAGTGTGCTTTTTCAGACTTGGTGACATTTATGGCAAATTATACAGCCCGGAGAATGAAGTTACAAACTGGCAGCCTGTGATACGAAGCCACATGTTGCCAAGATGAAGAAGCTGTAGCATTAATCAGTGTACGAGAATGTAGTATGATCTAGCTCTAGGGGCACTAGGTCAACATACTCAGTGCGTAGCTACATAGTCTTGTGAATGCTTAGCAGGTCTCAGTTTGGTTTTGGTGTGGTTTTGTGAAGATACCTTTTCTGTGTGTTTCTCTTTGCATATTTTTGTGGGTTTGCATATGGCTTGTATATGAGTGTTCTCTGTGATTTTTATGTGCTCGTTTGCGTGAATCTGATTGTGTAAGAAGACATGTCCTTATGTGCCTATGTTCATGTTTTTGTATGATGCATGTAGCCTAATCCAAAAGTCACAGACCTAAACATCATTGTACACAAACTTATTTAAAGCGTGGCTAATAAACACGGCCCATCTTAGTGCTCATAAATGGTCTCAAACAAGATGCTAAATTGTATTAAATCAGGAAAACAGAAAGATGGATAAATCCATTGTTCTTTGCAGTTTCTGCTCGTAGCTTGCCTACCTAGACCACAATATTTGGCTAGAAACAAGCAAATGGGCAATATGCAGTACAAAACTGGAAGAACTTTTTAAAATAGGGAAATTAAAGAGATTAAGGCTATATAATTAGAGACAGACAAATAAAAATTAATATAATAAAAATACATATAAAAGTAGTATATCTAGCAAAATAAAAGAAGTACATCTTATTCAAGAAATATTTTTCATAAAATGTTATTAACCCATAGAACTCATTGCTGTATGGCATCAGTGAGATTAAAAGACATTGTGTCTTCAAGAATTCATGATTTTAAGAGAGAATAATGCACAGAAGCCCTTTAAGTGTTCTAAGGCACAGAAACTCTCCTTGCAGAGAGCAGGAGGCAGAATTAAGGCAGAAGCCAACCACTAGTTGACAAGACATCAAATGAGATCTCCCATAAAGCTGCCTTTCTTGCAATTCTGATCTGGGTTTCTTGCAAGTTTTATCTTATGAGTCAGTTCTGGCTGAGATTGAATCCTGCTCATCAGACCGCTGATGCAGTGGGGAGCAATTACTGCCTTCCTCTTGGGTTGCAAACTTACCTTTCACCGTGTGCACAGTGAAGATGCCAAGGCAGAAGATGACGAGGATAGCTGCAGCGTGGAGTTTCATTGCTGGTGGCTTCTTTGTCAAGGCAGAGAAGAAAGTGGCTATTGTCAGCCCTCTTTCACCGAGTTTATATATTGTCGTTCAGTGGTCAGTTCTTGTGCTCACTTCTGGGGCGTCATGGGGGGGCTGACTGCAAGTGGAAAAAACTGAGTGGCAGTGCTTTTTCTGGTGACAGAGAACCACCTCCTTTCCCCCACCCGTCCCTCGCTAGCCCCCCTGTGAAGGGTTTTCCTGCTCAAACCCTGCTGTGGTTGCACTTGCTTCTGTGTCGCGAGTAGGGTTTATTTCAAGTTGCAAAAAGTGAGAGCTCTTGTTCTGTAGTGGAAACCTTTAATAAGTGTTCCTGTCCTTTCACACTTCGACTTAGAGAGCTGTAGCAAAGCCACACCGCAGAGGCACAGAGTAACATTCAGAGTTACCTCTTTGACCAATGGACCACTTAAAAGGGGAACTACCAGCTAAAGGGTGATGGAAACAGGAACGCCTTGGCTTTTTCCATAGTGGCTGGAGATAGTTGGCCACTTTAATGCATAGCTTCGGAGGAGTTTCACTCCTGTTTCCTATGTGTGCTGGGGCTTGTCAAAACTCTTCTGTTTTCTCCGTGATTTGATATGGACAAAGCTGATATTACTTATGTGCTGGGAGAAAGAAGAGTGAATACACTTTTACATACGGCACCAGATCCGCTAGCCTTCCTGCCAGTCAGGCATAACTAAAATGCAATGGTTTCAAAGAGGAATAAGAGTTTATAAAGTTGTTTATTTTGTTTGTTTGTTTGTTTTTGTGATGTGGTCTTTCTGGTATAAAGAAGGGACCCCAAGAAAGTAACCCGGCAATCAGCAAGGCACAATTTATAGGAAAGAAGAAAAAAGTTCCTTGCACTTTCATGGCAACATGGTGTTGATAACAGCTCTGCCAACTTGTTCCAATTGTACCTCTAGTTAATAAAATAATAATAAAAAATATTTAATAATTAAAAAGGTGTTCCTTTTTTTTTTTGCAGTCTGCACTAGTCCTATTACCCAGTTGTAGGTGTCCTTTCTATGTTGTGGTCAGGTGGTCTGAGTTACTGGACAGCATTGCTACATGCCAGCAGTTCTGCACCTGCAAATATTTTTCAAGCAAGCTGTGGACTTACAGGTCACACATGAAGCAGCTCCTGGGCTGGCATCATTGTCCAGATCTTCTGAGCAGGAATCTCCTCTTGTGCTTTACACTCTGGAGCACTTCTGTGCCCAGTAGAAAAAGCCATGCTTTTCTAGGCCTGCAGAGAGCCAGCCATGCCTGGTGTGAATAGGTGAGCACCAGAGTGCCTCGTGCCTGGGGTGGCCAGGCAGTGGTGTAGGGTAGCTGCCAGCACAAAGCCTGGAGCAAGTGTCCATTCATGCGGGTCTGGTTTCCCCTGCTCTTACCTCCAGGCTTCACCTTAGCTGTGTTACTTCCAGTTTTCCAAATTCTTGATAACATCCGTGTAAATAGCTTTGCATAGGGAAGCACAGCATGTGGAAGTCAATTCCCTAAGATTCCTCAAGCAAATTAAGATTGAGCTAAGAACTGAGCTCAAATACTCGACTCCTCGGCTGCAATGGCTGGTCTGTAACCTCAGGAACAGGACGTACGTCTTGCAGGTAGAGAACACGCTGCTTGGTTTACTTTTATATACACACACATTCTTTGTTCCTTTTGGTTTGATTCTTTCATCTTACGTATACCATGCAACCCAGCGAAAAGCAACGGCAAAAGTAGACAGTAAGCAGGTGAGGTACTTGCTGCTTTGCTTGAATGCCTGCTAAACCCACTTGCAACACTAATGTAAGTTACAATGAACTGGAAACCAAATCTTCAACCAAAGCCCCTGAAGGTAATCCCTCATGCCACAGGCGGGAGTAACCATACTGACCTCAGCAGCACTACTGTCAAGTCGAATGTTAAGTTTGTGCCTAAGAAGTGTAGCAGCCTGGTGTTCCACTGAACAGTGCCTGAAACCACTCCTTGAATGAGAGATTTTTGGTAATTTGAAGCTTTGAGATGCAAGATATCAGCTTTGTCATTGATGGTGGAGAGACGTTTTCTCCCTGGTAAAAGAGCAGGTGCTTTTCCATTCACTGATACGGTATATACATGTATGCGTATACTCACTGTCTACAGCTTTGAGAAGAAGGGTCACCAGCTGTATTGAGCATGAGCCAGTCCAGAAAAAGTCAGTCCTTCCCACAGAAGCTTCTGCAGGTTGCAGATTAATCCCTGAGGTGTTAGAAAGCCTGTTGCTTCTTCAGTTTTCCACCGTTCTTAATGTGGGATGGAATAATTGCCCTGTGGCAAGTTTTTCCCCTCTTTGTACTTCTCATTTGCTGTGGTCTCCTGGGCTGGCATTCCGTGTAGCTGGCTTATATCTAATGAAGTCTGGGTTTTGGAGAAGAGTTTTGTGGGCTGGAGTCCCACAGCCCTGTCTGTGGATATTTGGTGATCTCTGGTGTTCAGATGTTGTGTAAGGCTCATTTTGCATGTACTCTAACAGCAGTGTATACTGCCTTTGTGCCGTGGCAAAAGCTTAGTGCAAGATGATCAGACATGATCTTTCTGGTTTCGTGCTGGTAAGTCACATTAAAAAGACAGCTAGTAAGTGCCCAAAGTACTTTTCCTATTAGTGCTTCTCAACTCTGTATAAGTTAAATGCTTATGATACTTGTCCTGGGGCTTGACTGCCTCTTGTATGGCTCCCTCATCACAGGCTGCTTTCAAAGCCTTCTGGAGTAAAGTGATCATCTGTGGCTTGTGATACATCCACGGTATGATTTTGGAGTTTTACCACTACATCGAGTGGGGCACAGAGAGGTGAAGGGACCCGTGAGACTGCTCAGGCACAGCAGGAGGCAAAGAAAGGGCCTGCTCTAGGACAGCTCCTAGCCAACCGCTGGATGCAATAGTTTTCTTGGTTTTTAACAATGTCAAGAAATTTTTACTGAAATAATTGTTGCATATATCCCGTTTCATGTCAGCAACCCTGCTGAAGGAAAAGAAATACACAATGAGCAGAGTGTCAAGCCTAATATCAGAGTAAAGAGTCTGAAGTATTGCATCTTCTCATGTGGTAGTTAGCTTTCAAAAAAGAAAGACCGAGATCTTCACAAATAAATAAGTGCTTATGCACTCCTTGATATGAGAGTCTTTAGTGAATGTTCAGCAGCCCCTTGAACTTGAAGATGTGCCAGCAGATCTTCTGAAGACTAAATCAGTGCATTCAGTGACTTTAAGAGGGGACCTAAGAACCTCAGCTTAGACATGGCAGTATCTCAGACAACTGTTTTTAGGGTGGCAGAGGTCACCCTCAGGAGATACATATCTGTCTCTTTTATCTGCAGAAGCAATATACACGTGTATCTTATGCCAGACATGGCAAGTGAGTGAATTTTGGTAAGATAAACGTGACCCTAATATATTTTGGGTTTGCATTGTTTCTTAACAGTTGGAGTACTTGTTTAAGAACTACCAGCAAGTGACATCCACCTGTGATATTAACATGACATGTAAATGCAAGATCATTTACATTTCCCTTCTTCATTTTTCATCACTTTTGCTCTGCAGATTTCATGATGATTTCATGGGTACTTCTGGCTTTTAATTTCACTTTCTTATTGAAATTGCTGTTGTCCTTCTATTTATGCCTTCTCACCAGGCTTATTAGGTCATGCTCTGTAGTTTAAACTATTTACTTACTTACTTTTAAACTCACATCTGAATTCATATCTGCTAAGCAGCACAAATTAGGTCTATAATAAAGACCACTGAAGTCAGTATCCCACTTAAGTACCTGCTTGGTTTAATAGTTAGAGTGGTGCATTGAAGTATGTTCAAGTCGCAGCTGATAACAGAATTAGCACGATTCAGGAAGTTTCTGTCCCTCACCTGGAAATAGAAATTTATGTTCAGGCTTTTGCATTCATACTGTAATGGAGTAGAAACACACACATGCCCGGTGCTCACATCTCAGATGAGAGACAATGACTTTTAATCTAACTTGACCACTTAAATCACATTTTTAATAACTATTCTGTTTCGTACTGGTTTTGGCAGAACTCCTCCTTTAGAAACCCTATTGACAGTGCTTTCCCTTAATCATAATTGAGTTTTTGGTTGTAGACCATCTGTTTCCACTACCATCCTGCTAGTTTTTGCCTGCCAGCTTTTCCCTGGTCCTGATAACATCCTCCTACCTTGATGTGTCATGTGCTATTAAATAAGTTAGTTGTATCAAAATCTTTCCTTCAGCGTTGAAGCGTTCAGATATGTAAAATTAGACCGAGAATGACTTGGTTTGAAAGAGGCCTTGAACCAAACATATAAAGGCTACTCTACACTCTATAGTAAACTCTACAGTCAGCTGTATGCAGGCATGCACCTGTTTTGTTGATGTTTTAAGCTGACTCAACGTCAATGTGGCATTCTCCGTATTGCCGAGGTCTTTGGTCTTTCTTTCCTTCAGTGTTGATTTGTGGTTTTTTTTCAACGAGCAGTTATACAGTCAGAGTCAGTTATACACAGAGAGTTTACAAGAGGAAGACTCTGATCCTCATCATTATAATCTTAGTTAGTCTTGTCTGTTTTGGCTCTTTGTGAGATACACGCCAGGAAGCAAACCAAACGCTGTGCAATGCTATTGCTGCAGAGAATCACAGAGGTGACTATTGCTCAATTCTATGAAGGTATCTAAATATTGTGCATGCTGAAACAGGAGCCAAATGCATTTTGGAATTTGTGGAATAGTCTCAATCCATCATATTGCTTTTTTCTTCCTTTTTATTTGTTCTGGGTTTTTTGTTACTTCTTTTTGTGCTTTCTCTTCCTCAGCTCTCACATAAAACAGAGAATGTGTATTGTGTTTAGCACTTCTTTCTATGCGTGCCATATCTATAGGATCAAGGATGTGGAAACCAAGTCTTATTCTGTTAGTATTCAGGAGAAGAATCAAGCCTTCTGTGTGAAAAATAAATACACTATTTGGTTGACCATTGATACATAGTTAGTGTCTGTAGACAGTGTAAATGTCACTTCTGGGTAAACCTGAGCTTTCCTCAGAAAACTGAAGAAGCTCAGATACTTACGTTTTTTCAATAG